TCTGGAGTCACATGGGCCAGTTCCTGCATACTTTGCTGAGTTGCAAGGCGTATTTTCCTTCTTTCAATGGGTCAATTGTATAGCTGATGGTCCTCAAGCAGGCTAGGCAGAGCTAACACCAACTTGTCTGGGAAGTTTTTCAAAAGCATAGCGTAAGTTTGAAATACAGACAGTATAGAGCCAATATTCAAAACTTCAACTACAAAATTGATACACACATATAGACAGCATAATCATAACCAGCCAACCATAACTTTGTCTTAGACACCTCACTTGACCCCCTTTATACAAGATTTGGTGCCACTACAGGACTTTAGTTGCAACCATGCTCTATATCAGGGGTCAGCAACATTCGGCACGCGGCTCGCCAGGGTAAGCACCCTAGCGGGCCGGGCCAGTTTATTTACCTGCTGATGTGGCAGGTTTGACCGATCGTGGCCCCCACTGGCCGCGGTTCGCCATCCCGGGCCAATGGGGGCAGCGGGAAGCCGCGGCCAGGACATCCCTCGGCCCGTGCCGCTTCCCGCCACCCCCATTGGCCCGGGACGGCAAACCGCGGCCAGTGGGAGCTGCGATTGGCCGAACCTGCCGCGTCAGCAGATAAATAAACTGGCCCGGCCCGCTGGGGTGCTTACCCTGGCGAGCTGCATGCCGAACGTTGCCGACCCCTGCTCTATATGGTCCCAGTTCAAATAAATAACGTGACAGAGGGAGTGGGGCCTCATGGAAGGGGTGGAGTGGGGACGGGGCCAGGGCCAGAGGGGTGTCGAGCACCCGCAGCAGGAGCAGAAGTCAGCACCTATGCTTGGGGTCCTGACAAACATTCCCAGGGGCACATATAGACAGACTTCCTGTTTTTCTAAAATACATATATCAGCAATTTCAACATTCTTAGCAGGAAGGATGTGGGGTCAAGCTGCCCTGTCTGTGGTACCCAAAACGCTTTCCTTCCCTCCTGCCTTGGTTATGCTGAGGCCGCTGCATGACCAATTTATGGCCTGCTGACTTGGCTTCTTTTAACAACAAGCAATAGTGGTTCAGTACGCCCTGCTGACTTGGCCACTGTTAGCAATAAGTAATAGTGGTTTCAGACACTTTACTGGATTGCCAAAGTCTCCCCGTACACATGCAGGTGTGACTGTGCTAGTGTGTGTATGCAGCTGTATGTGCATGCTGGAGTGAGTGTGCACATGCAGTGTGAGTGTGCACATGCGAGTGTGTGTATGCAGGCATGAGTGCGCTGATGTGTGCATATAGCTGTGAGTGTGTGCCTGCAGGTGTGAGTGTGCACATGCAAGTGTGTGCATGCAGGAGTGAGTGCGCACATGCAAGTGTGTGCATGCAGGAGTGAGTGTGCTGTGTGTGCATGCAGGTGTGAGTGGGTATGCGTGGGTGTGAACGTGTGCACGCGGGTGTGTGTGCAGGCAGGTGTGAATGTATGCGGGTATGTGCAGGTGGGAGTGTGCGTGCGTGTGGATGTGAGTGTGTGCATGTGTGTATAGGTATGTGTGCGTTGGTGCATGTACAGGTGCACACATACCTTGTCAGGGCAGCCCAGCAGTGCAAAGCAGCCAGGGCCCAGAACTGAGCTGCTCTTCCAAGAAGGGCCCATCCTTCAGAGGGAGAGGGCAAGTGTCTGTTCTTCCCAAAGGGCCCTGGCATTGCTAGGGTGGTTCACCTAGGCCCTTGCCCAGGAGCATGCAGACCCTCCCCTTCCGACCCCATCACCTGCTCC